AATGTCTCCTGCTTCCTCCCAAGCTAGCATGATTCCTGCCCTGTAGTTGGTATTTACAATTAATTGGTTAAACAAGTGAAGATACAACAAAGTAATCATTCCCTATTTTTTTTTTTTTAGAAATGTGTGTCATTTTCATTCTCTTGATTCTAAATAGTTCTAAGGCAAATAGATTATTCCCTTAAGATAGTATCCCAGACTGGGAATATGAGGTCAACAAGAGCCAAAAACTTTTACAGATAAATGCACCAAACCAGAAATCTTCCTCCCCTTCCATCTGTGCCACTGGCAATAGTGCCAAAGGTAATAATTTACAATTGATTAAAGAGTTTGCGAGGTATTTTTTTCCCGTCTTTTTTCTCCCTCCCTTCTCCTCCCCTCCTGCAAAAAAGGGGGGAAATTATCTGAGAAGGTGAAGATGTTCTCAGACAATCATATTAACATATTCCAACAATCGCAATTTGCAAAATAGTAATCACAACTCCCGGGATCTGGGAGGCATTAATCAAAGCTACAGGTTTAATTCCATTTTAAATATTGATGAAATGTGCCTCAGCAGCCTCACCCTGGCGTGGCAGGGCCAGGGGAGCCGTGGAGGCGTAGGGGAGGTGGAGGAGGGTGGGTGAGCAGCTGCCAGAGGGGAGGCATCTGTGATTCAAATTGGTGGCTGTGCAGCCAGGTAGAGAGTGAAAGGGGTAGTGAAGAGGGCTGTTAAGTCCATTGCTGTCAATTTGTAACGATCAGGGAGGGGCCTGAGGACTGGTTCAGCACAATAAACCCAGTTTGTCTGGTTTCAGGGGTTACCGCTGAAGAGGCTGCAGCTGCACTGATTCCAATAGCCTGGAGACTTCAGAACTGTAATTATCAACCAGGCTGCTCACAGTGTGGCAAAAGTGGGCTCCACCAGCGCTTAACTCCTTGTGTGCTGACACATCGCGGCCCATCTCCCCACCCCTGGGCTTGCCAGCCTGAACTGGGACTGCCAGGCAGCAGGCCCAGGGGAAACTGAGGCCCACTGGCTACTTAGGACAGTTTTCAAAAGCCAGTGTGTACTAGCCAGCAAGCCTCTTTCCTTAAATCATAGGTAAAGAAATGTATGTGTTATATGGGGGGAGCCTCGGTCCTGGCATCCCCACATCTGCTCTGGGTGGAGGTTAGGCTGCAAAGCCTGATAAAGAGTTGCTCAAATTGCATGGGCCAGGGACCTAGAACCAGGCTCATCCCCTTTGTAACATGGAAGCACTCTCCCCTCCGCTGTGGAGATCCAATGAGATGCAGTGCTAAAATAGCACACAGTAGGCTGTCCATGGGCCTCCATCTCTCAGCCCTGGCCCTGGGGCTTTTTACAGGAGAAGAAGGCGTCCCTGAGCAGGGGGAATCTGATTCAGAGGGCAGGTTTTTGATGGCTTCTGCATTTCAGCTTTCAGGAAGACCCTTGGTTACTGAGCTTCTACCATTCATCACCCATCTCAGGTGGAAGGCTCTGAGCTAGGTACAGAGGAGAGAAGGCCAGAACTCCTCCATGCTATAGCCCAAAGAAGAACCAGAGGACAAGGAGCAGAGAAGAAAGGGAGGAAGGAAGGAAGGAAATAGTGTGGTGAGAGAAGGGCACAGGCTCAGTTGGAAACACTGGTGAACAAAGTCTGTGCAGGATTGATGGCCCTTCTTTTGGGATGTAGCCCCAGGGAAATTCTCCCACAGATCCCTGAATGCATATACTGGATGGAGAATGCTTGTCCCAGTGCTGTTCCTGGTAGCAGGGAATTGGAGGCAACCTCCATCTTCGCTACTGGGAGGATGGAGAGTAAAACGTGAGGGGGCCAACCATGCAACATGAGGCAGCCAAGAAGCAAAGAACTAGACTTCATGTAGCAACAAAAAGAGGTCCTAAAAATGTACCATGGGGTGAAAGAAGTTCGGCACAATGAAATTCACAGCACAATGTGAATTAAATTAAAAACACATTCAGACACAAAACAACAGTACATACTTTATATAGCTACATGCATTTTTAGGGATCTATATCTATATCCCATTAGCGTGGGTCCCTGTTGTGGTGAGGGGCTGGGTGTGGTCTGGAGGAGAAAGGGGGAAAATAAAAATACAGAAATTCACAAGGGGTATTGCAGAGAGAGAGGATGATCACGTGCGGTGGGACTGAGGACTGTGACTCATTCAGCTCTATGTGAGGTTTTGTTGTGCAGCACAGGTTTCATAATTAGACAACTCTAGGTTCAGATTGTAGGTCCTCCCACACAATAGCCCCAGGCTGTGGGCAAGTGACCTGACCTTGGAGCCTCTGTTCATCTAAAGTGATGGGAAAGACTTGCCTTTCCAGGGAGACCAAGAGGAAGCTGAGCAAGATGGCTGGGAATAGCTACAGCTGCCACCGCGGCTCCTCTGCATGTCCCTGGCAGGCTCCTGAGTCAAGGGGACCCCTGGACCCTCAAACCTCAGACTCTTTGAAGGGTCATGAAAGGAATGCCCAGAAAGGAAACTAGGACCTAAAACTATGTGCTAGTGCTACCAGCCATGCCTGGCCCCACCGCTCTGGGTTTGCTATTTGTGATATGTCACACCGGTGAGCACTGGAGAGTGAGGCTGCCACTCTGACTGCCCATCAGGATCAAACCAGCTCAAAGTGGCTGAAGGACCTCAAGCTGCCTCATCAGCAGCATTCACAAACTATAAACCCTTTTGTGTTCAATTTCCCCCAGACCAGGCCCTCTGCCGAGGGATTAGATTTAAATGAAAGGGTTGCTTCTGCCCACACAGAGCTAAACACATGGGCCACCAGCAGACCATCAGCCTGTGTTGGAATGCACTCCAACTCGAAGACCCCACCCAGGGGGCTCCCAGGGCACGCAAGGTCTTGGTGAGGACCAGGCATGACCGGCTCTTCCTCTTTCCCTACAGACGATGATGAGCATGAGTGGATCATCCAGACCTGTCGGAAGGGCTGGGATGAGATCGTGGGTCACAGGCCCAAGCTGTGAGTTCTGCAGCAGCCTCCACCAGAGGCTGCCATCTGTCCCGCTGGCACTGGCTGCCTTCACCCTGGGAGGCTGTAATTCTAGAGCCTCAATTTTGACTGAGGAATAAAAGCTTTCTGCACTCAGTGGCTCCAAGTGTATTTGCCTTCGAAGACGTTCTCAGAACACATCCTCATTTCACCTGCATCAGAAGCACCTGGGAAAAATTATGAACTATAGCTATTCCCAGGCCTCAGCCTAGACTTACTAATCAGAATCTTCGGGAATGGAACCTAGTAATTTGCATTCTCAGGTAGTTCTTATGCATATGAAAGTTTGAGAACCATTGTCATACAATAACAGATATATGTGACTGAATGAGCCTCTCGTGGGCCAAGGCAGCATGTGGGCATCTTCCCGGCTCCTAACAGCAGCCTTCAAAGGAGGGGTAAGCATAACCTTTTGCAATGGGGTATCTGAGGTTCATAGAGAGTGACTGACTCTCTTGATTTCAGAGGACAGTAGGACCTGATTATTGTGACCAGCTCACAGCTGGCACCTCCCCGAATAACTCCCCACTTATGTTTTTACTCTTTACGGGGCCATCATTTGAGCCTCAGGCAGGAGGAGGTGCAGAATCAGCTTAATACCATAGGAAGAATGTGGCTTTGCCATCATCCATTTCTGGGTTCAAATCCCAGCTCAACCACGGTATTATGTAACCTTGGGCAAGTCACTTCTCTAACTTCAGTTTCCTTATCTATAAAATGGTTATAATGATATTTAAAACAACAGAGTAGCTGAGAATGAGTCAAATGAGATAGTACATGAAAAGGAGCTGGTGCTTAGCAGGTGCACAATATGTGTTTGTTTTAAACACATGATGCAGTTTGTTAGCAGCACATATAATCAGTCTTCAGAATCACCTCAGAGCTCACATTTGTTAACTGAAAAACAGAAGTGGAAGCAGCAACATGTCTCAGGGCCACTTGTGGACCCCAAGCAACCTGGATCTTTGCACAACTGTCCCTCTTGGGAGGTTGCTGGATCCTGTGGCCTCCTGGGTCATGTCCCTGTCTCACCAGAACTTTCTGGTAGAAACTGGTAAAAACTTGGAGGGCTCTGCAGGGAAAGGAAACTGGACCTGCAATGAGCAACCCAGAGCTGTCATGCAGGTATAGCCAACAGCCAGAGGAAGGCCTGGGTCCACTCTCAGCTGCACCATGGAGGAACCTGGGGGAATAACCTCACCCCTCTCAGACTCCAGTCACTTTGACAGAATGATAGGGTTGAGCTCCACAGCTAATAACAAACTGAGTTTTGAAAACAGAAGTTACATTCATAGGGTTGGGGATGTGGCTCAAGCGGTAGCACACTCATCTGGCATGAGCACGGCCCTGGGTTCGAACCTCAGCACCACGTACAAATAAAGATGTTGTGTCCACCGGGGGGGGGGGGGGGAAACAACTATAAAATAAATTTAAAAATTCCCTCTTTTTTAAAAAAAAAAAAAGAAGTTACATTCATATAAGCACACATGCCTAATATATTATCAAAGATAAACATATATCTAAACATTTGAAAAATGGATTAAGAGAGTAGAGTGGGGAGGCACATGAATGGGGGTAAGAAATAGGACCCAGCTCAAATGCCTCCCCTTGTCCCGCAGAGCATACTGGAGTGATGTCTGTTTACATCATTGGCCAGATTGAGCGCTCCTCTAGGCAGGGTGGGGCTGGGACCCTTCTCTGAGTCTGCAGAGACAGCACAGGGCCCAGCAGAGAGCTGGTGTTCAGGGAGCACAATGCAGACAACAGCCAGCCTGATCTGCTACTCACTAAGACATAGGGATGATGCAATATTTAGAAAAAAAAATCACCCTTCTTCGTGCCTTTGCAATGCACAATTTACCAACTGGGAAATGGTACCAACTTTTTAGCTTTACACTGTCCAGCAGCCCAGAAATTATGGGAGCCAGGGACCCAAACCCTTAGCCAGAGAGTAGGAAAGAAATGAAATCCCATCATGTTCTGGATTTAAGTGCCAGCACTTCTACTTGCGTTAACTTTATTTATTACACAAATAAGACATTTACAAAGCACAACATGAAAGATATGTAACAAAACAGACATTGGTTTTACAAAAAAAGTGCTTACAATTTTTATTCCATGTGTGTATTTCCCCTTTTGTTTTGTATTTAAATAAATAGTCTTGTCCGCCTGTGTGTTTCCAGGCTGCTCTTAACAGGGTAGTGGAGACGTTTGAACTGCAACATGCTACTGTCATGTAGTCCACGCAAGGAACAGACCCTGGGGAGAGACTCAAGACAGAGAGGATCCTGGGTGACCCTGGGCAAGGCTCAGTTGGCCGCTTACCACATGGTTGTGATTGGGGCTTTGATCATTAGGAGCAAAAATCAAAGGAAAGATCTGAGCTCCCCAAGGCCAGGGATCAGGCCCAGGTCACTCCTGTTAGTTCAGTGCCCAGACAGAGGCAGCACAAGTTTTCACTGGATGACTTCTGAACCACATTCTGAGTGGTGCTTTCTCTTTGACCTTAGTTAGCTGTAACATCTTTGGAAGGGACAGAATGCAGGTTCCCTCTTGGGCCTCACCCATGCCTAGGCCTCCTCCAGAGAAAATGGCATGTAAGTTCTCATTAAGTGCCAACTTCAAGCATATGAATCCGGAAACCTTATCCAGACTCAGAGAGAGTGCTGCAATCGATTAATGATGTCTGCTATGGGTGAAGACAGGGACCACAGCTGTGTATAACTATAAACTTGCTTTCCCTGTCCTGCAGTCTCCTTCCAAAAGCAGGCAGGAGGACTGGGGCTAAAGCATGCTTACTAGCAGCCTCTAGTTGGAAATGCACTAGGTCTCCAAGTAGTTCTAGAATTATAGAATAAGCTTGGGGCAAATGGGCATCCCCTGAAAACATAAATATCATGGTCCTGTTTGCCCAAGCCCTTGGTTTAAGGTGGAAGAGTTGCAGCAGGATGGGGTGGATGAGACCACAGCTGTGTCTAGCCTTGTTCTCAGGAGCAGGTGGGGCTGGCTCTGGGCAGGGTTGGCAGGGAAGCCCAGAGGTACTAGCTTGGCACACTCACCTAGGCAGTGGGCACCTCTCTACTCAGAGATGGATCAAAGTTTACATTCTGGCTGTCATTTAACTGGGCTCTGTTCCTTGGCCCCCAAGAGTGGTCCCCTAGCCCAGGCACCCCTATCAGTAGTGAACCAGCAGCCAAAAAGCATCCCCAGCTCTAGCCTGCCCACTCAGCAGCACCATCACACAGATCAAATACTATCTTTGCTATGTCTCCTGCACTTACGTTAGATAGTCAGGTGGGGGTAGGGTTTCCCCTCCGTCCCAAGTGTTCGCTTTCCCCTCCTTGAAATGGTTAGTGCCTCTCCCAGTGCAGAGTGCCACATGTGCCACATCCCTCTCCTCGATCTCCAACCAATGGGGGCCTTTGTCCCCCATCCCCCGCCTGTCCCTCTGCCTCTTGGTCTGGGCAGGCCTCCATCTCTGCCCTACTGGGCCTCTCAGGGTTGGTCAGTGTCTCTTCTCTTTCTGAATTAACTTGACATAACCAGACAGATGGAAATGATAAAATTAGAACATAGCTTTCCTTTGGGGACATCCCACAAACACTGTAGAGTTTTCCAGACAAAAGCAACAGAGTGGATGACATTGGGGGTTGTCGGCTATTCGGAATTCAGAGATGGTTCCAAGGAAGTAGTAAATAAAGGCCAATGGGGGTGGGAGGGCGGGGAAGAAAACCTGTAAATTAGGAGGCTGTTGGTGTCGCATGATTCAATTTGTCTTTTGCTATTGTAATCAGCTGAAGTTGAAGATGACTCCTGTTTAAATGGGAAAAACAGGCTGTTGTTTTCACCCTGATTCCAAATTTCAGGGAGCTCTGCCTTCCAAGAGGAGGACTCTGTGATGCTCCTGGCCAGTTCTGGTTCTCAGCAGGAGAGGGAAGGCCAGGCCTGGGGGCCAGCTGGCAGCGGGCAGAATGGCGGGTGGGGGTGGATGCGGAGGCGGTGGATCCCTGGCCACAGTTTGGACACTGGATCTCAGCGGCTGAGGGGCAGCTGTGGGGTGCCCATGGACAGATGCGGAAGTGCCGACAGCGTTAGTACTGAAAAAGGATGACCTGCAAGAGGAGGGCATGGGAGGTGGCTGAGTTAGGAGCCTGCCCCACTTGGCAGCCCCCAGGGATCCTCAAAGTCATGCAGCATAAGGAAGGGCTCAGGGCCTAGACTTGGATTTAAATCTTGACTCTGGCAGCTTACTTGCTGTGGGACTTTGGACAACTCACTTCCCCTCTCTGAGCCTATTTCCTCATCTGTAAACAGGGATACCAAAACCTCTCAGAACAGGGAGGATTCAATGAGATACAATAGCAGAAGCAAAAACCTACTGGGCACTTTACCCTGCTCCCTCCATAAATCGCTTCAATGAAGCTGCACCTCAAGCCCATGAGGAAGTCCTACTGTGATGGTCTCTATTTTACAGGGAGGGCACCAAGGCTGAAAGAAGTGGCAGTTAGTGAGTCCATGATCACAGCTAGGAAGAGATACACCAACACTGGAATCCAGGCAGGCTCTCTACGAAACCACCCATCTCTACCTCTCCAACACCACCATGACAACAGCTGCCCACAGGGCACAATCTACCAAGCCAAGGGCTAAGCACCCAGTGTACACCGGATCTGCACAAAGCCAAGGCATGTGGCTAAGCCAGCCAGAGGCTGATGCACAGCGAGTGGGTGGGCCTCTGCTCCTTTCTCTTCCCCTCTTCCACTTAGAGCACCTGGCTGACATCTTACTGCCACCCACACAACCAATCCCCTGAAGTTCAGGTCAAAGATCACTGGCTGGCTGGTCAAAATGGGGTGTCCCTTTTCACAGGAAAATAGGAGGAGGAGGTTTCAAGTGGCCCAGAGTCTGCCAGTGAGCACCGTCACATCACTGATACATTTTCTGATCAGGATGTTTCTTGCCCAGAATCAGCTACCAGAGGAGGTGGAGGAGGAAAGCAAAGATGTTGATCTCCATAGTATCATGGTAGTCCCCTCCCCCTTACCTACAGTTTCAGTTATCTGCATTCAACCACAGTCCAAGAATATTACTATTGGTCTTCACTCTTTCAAAAGAGAGGGATCACACTCATATAACTATTATTAGAGTACATTATGATTATTCTATTTTATTATTATTGTTGTTAATTTCTTAATGTGCCCAATTTATAAATCAACCTTTATCAGAGGTATGTATGTATAGGAAAAATATACTATTATATAAGGTTCAATACTATCCAGGGTTTCAGGCCCCCACTGGGGGTCTTGGAACATAGCCCTACAGATACGAGTAGACTACTGCAATCATAATGACGACCAGTACCCAAGGAGCGCTTTCTGCCTATGGGACACTGTGCTAAGCTCTTTATACAAGTCATTGCATTTAGTCTCCACAGCAACCCCGGGTGGTGGGAAACATTATTGTCCCCATTTTATAAATGCAGAAACTGAAACTCTGAGAAGCTAATTGTGTCTCCAGGTCTCAGAGGGAGGAGGTGGCAGATCTGGGCTCAGGGTGGCTGGGCTCCAAAGCTCACACTGCATTCTTCACCCAGCCTTGTGCCTTATTTTCACTGGATCTTCAGGACACCTGGCTTTAGGCTCTTATTAAAAGGAGCACCCCTCCAAAAAAAAAATTACCCTAGTCAAACCTGTCCCCTACAGGGGCCTCAGTCTCTCAATAACCTAATATTTGAATAATAACCTCTTGGTCCTGATTTCTAAGAACCTTCCAAGTGCTGAAGTTGTGGGATCAGGGTACACAACCAGGAAGAAATGTGGTTCTGGAAACGCACAGGCGTATGTGGCCAAATGATGACGCAGTGGACAGGAAGCTCCTCCCACCCTGACAATGTTGGGGTCATTGTTCTCCTGGCCAAACCAGCCCTGATCCAGATGAGTGGGCTCAAGGACCAGACCCAGGGGGACACACTCTCTTCACAGCTAGGCTGGCTCGGAGGGACTTGGGAGACAGCCCATGCAGTCCTGTGCTGCCTGCTCAGCCCAAGCCCTGTGACCCACCAAGCCCCACAGGTTTGACAATATGTGAATGGAAAATCCCTGGGAGTTGAGGGAAGTTCTGACAGTGAGAGGGCAGTGGGTCACAAAGGAGGGAGACACACTTTAATGCAGAGCATCTGGATACAAATCCGGGGACACAGCCCAGCAAGAGTGAATTCTGGCTCACTAGACAAACCCAGGGGCCAGAATCCTAGAGCCAAAGCTGCCAATGCCCAGCCTGGCTCGTCTTTCAGGCTGAACCAGACATAACCACAAGCTTAGCTGAGCAACCAGGAGACAGGGCTCCTCTCCAAGCTCTGAGCCCAGCCCTATACACTTCCAAGGCCTAACCCTTCCCTCTATATAATGCTTAGGGTACCAGGCCTTTCAATATGTAGCCCTGGCTGCTCCCCCACTTCCCTGGGCCTCCACCCCACTAAACACCCCATAATCCCCTCAAAGCCAGGCTTCTCCTTGCTTCTGTGCATCAGCACTTGCTGTTCTCCCAACATGGAATGCCCTTCTCCTCATACCCTCCTTCTCCCCTAAAGTTGTCACTCCCTCTTCTGGGTCCTCCAAGGCCATGGCTGCCCCCACTCCAACCACCCCATTGCCTTATGGTACAACTGTCCATGTCCTACTCTAAGTCACAAGTTTCTTGTGGGTGGGGATCAGGTCAGAATTCTTCTGCAAAGCCAGTGCCAGTCTGGTAGGACCAATGATCTCCCACAAGAAAGAGACATGTGTGAGGCAGGTGGTGCTTAGATGGAGGCCTGCTGTGTTCACATTCAGTGTGACCCTGGATGAGCAACTTCTCTGAGCCTCCGTTTCTAGAGGTGACATGGAGTTCCATCATAGCCATCCTCCCAGGGAGGCTGTAAAGGATACTGTCAGAGACAGTCCTGTAGAAATGTGAAGTGGTACAAGAAAGGAAGAATCTACTGAGCTTCGTAGACTTCAGAGTCCAGCAAACTTGCTGCACCCCTCGACAAATCACCTCATCTCTCTGAACCTCAGTCTCTTTATTTCTACAATGAGAAAGGCCATCTCCATGCCCACAAAGAAGCTGGGAGGTATCAACCAGAAGATGTGTGTAAAGAGCTCAACAAACAGCAGTTCCTACTGTGAATGTGACAGTCCCAGAAGGGACCTTCCTGCAGTGTGCTCCCCGACCACCTGATTCTTGTGTTGAACACCACCACCTACTTGGAAACATATCTGTGCAACTAGGCTGTTTGCACCTCCATACTATAGATATTCCCTCACTGTGCCAATCACAGAGAGCCCAATACACAGTAGGTGCTCAATCAGGAGGCACAGCCAGAGGAAATATGCTGGAGAAGTGTTCTGCACCTGGAGCTGCCCATCAGAATCACAGGGGCTGAGCATCACAAATGCAGGTCAATGTACCCCATTCCAGTCTTGCCATCAGACTCTGGCTTGGGAATCTGTTTTTCCAAGTTGCCCCAGTGATTCCAAGACACATTAAGACTGGGATCCACAGGACTGGAGGGCTCCTAATGGACCTTCCACCTCTAAAGCATGGTCTCTGTCTCCCTGGACCACTGTACCATCTGACTCAGGGTGGCTCCATGCCTCCCACAGCACATCTTCCCAGCCGACCTCTCTGAGGACCATCACAGTGCTGTCTCTGCAAGGCCTTCCAAGGTCCCCCACGGCCCCGGGATAAAGTCCAAGTCCTCTGCCTGTCAGCCCCATGGTCCCATTTCTCACTACTTTTCCTCCCAAGCCTGTCCCAGTGACATGGAATGGTTCAGGATTCCCTAAGAGCTGGGATGGCTGTCTTTGATGAGCCCTGATCCAGTGTCAGGCCTGCGTTTTGGGGCTGCCTTCCTCCAGGAAGTCTTCCCTCCATCTCTCCCTGCCCTCACTCTTCCCCCATCCCACGGCTCCCCATCACAGTGTGATCAGCAGGGTTGCCAATGTTGGAGTCTGTCCCCGCTCCAGATGTGGCCTCCTCCAGCAGCAGCCATGCTTTACTTATCTGTGAGTAATGAGTGAGTGAATGAATAAACGCACAGGTTCTCATCCAGGCTCTGACCTTCAGCTTCTTGGCCTCGATTTCCCTCTTCTAAAAGGAGAGGCAGTCTCAGCGCAATGGCTTTTAAGGCTAGCTCTGGGATGCCTCAGAGCTGAGAGGGAGGTGAGGCTCCTACCCGCTCCATGGTTGCACTCAGAGCAGCTCCGTCTAAATTCATCTGTGATACTGATGAGACCAAACAAAGGGTTCCAATGCTTAAAAAGCAAAGCCTTCCAGCTGCTGGACTGGGTAATACCTAAGCATCTTCTAGACATTCATTCCCAACGCATCAAACAACCAGAGATCTGGTTCCACAGAGGAGCCCTGCCAGTTGGCCAGCTGTCTCTTTGCCCCACCAGAAGCCCTCCCTGCAAAAGCCTCAAAGCTTGAGTAAATTCTCCAGTGTGACAAAAGAGAAGCCACCCTGCCAGTGAGAGGACAGGGCGAAGGAGGCCTGTGGAGTGGGCGCATGTGGAACATGCCAGCAGCTGCTCAGATGCCTCTCATGGGCACAGAGTGGGCCAGAGCTGGCTGGGCAGAGATGGTCTGCCACACAGAGGCAGGCTGCCCACTCAAGGATGGGAAATACTGCCAGAAACTCAGCCCCGCAGGAAGGCTCTGATCCAGCAGACCAACCTGGCTCCATTTACCTTCTCACCCCGGCTGGAGAGCGGCCCATCCATATCAGCTTTGAGGTGGACGGGAGGCGCGGTGTAAGGCAGCCGACAGTGCACCTGCCCGCACTGTACCTGACCTGTGGACGAGAGGTTGCCTTGGAGCCCATCCCTCAGGCTCCACACGGGATCCCACCTGCCCTGTGCTCTGCAAGCTGGAGCCCCAAGACCAGTTCCATCCCTGCCACTTAACACCTGCATGAAATTTCAATAGGGTGGGTGACAACACTGCACAGGAAGGACTTTATAAAGTGCCACAGTTGCTAGGGATAACCATCCAGTTCATTGATAAATGAGCACTCGTGCAAGCAAGGTTGTGCTCTTCGGGTTCAGATCCTCCTTGTACACTTCTGTCTCCAAATTGGGTTTCATCAACCTAATACCAATAGCCACCCCTCCCCTTCCCTCCCCATCCTCCTTTCCAGCTTGGTTTTTCTTCCTTAGCCCTAACCATCTGACTTACGGTGTGTTTTTATTGTTTTTTGCTATCACCGGTCTTTGCCAACTAGAATACAAGCTCTATGAGGGCAGGAAGTTTTTAACCTGTTTTCTAGTTTCTGGATTTTTGTAAATTTCCAACACCAAGGATGAGGCATTATATCTAGTAGGTACTTTAAAAATATTTGTTGAATGAGACTCCATACCCTATTCCAACATCTAAAACTGTTGGGGAAAGTCCACCTGTGTGTCTGATCCAAACCTTTCATGCTTCATCCTGTTTACCACTATAATAGAGAAGTCCTTTGCCTATCTCCTCTCTAGACTTCATCCTCTTTGATCACAGAAAAAGACCTGTGCAGAAACTGACAATCAATATGTAACTTGGGACAAGTCACTGTGTCTTTCTGAGCCACAGATCTCTCATCTGTAGAATAAAGCAATTGTATTAAATTGAGGGTTCTTAACTCCCTGGGTGTTCAGGGAATCCATGAACAACCTCAAATTACTCAAATAACCATGTGTATCTGTGCATTTTTCTGGGGTCTTGTTCCAAAGCTTTTATCACATTCTAAGCTCTAAGACTTCAGGAAACTAAGGATCCTGTGAATTTAATTAACTATAAAGTAAAAGTTCATTTTTTTTTTCCTGGGCTCTTGTTCTGTTTCTTCAACTTTCCAGCTCTAAGGCTTCAGAATATGCAAGATTCAAGATTTTAACTAACTGCAAAGCAAACTACTGGGGTGACCTTCAGCTCTTGAAGCAAGAGGTAGCAGGCCCAGACACCCCACAGAATTCTGCCCCAAGCTAGGTTCCACTACCAGGGAAAAAGGAAAAGGGCACCTCAGCCCCTTCTCTAGGGATCCAAGACAGATCTAGGCATGCTCACTGGAGTGGTGTGGATGGAGTCGTGGCCCACCTTTGAAGAGGGTCACCTAGATCCATCATTACCTCCACACAATGATGATAGCCTAGGTCCCTGGTACTAGAGAGGCCCTGATCATTGGCACTTTTAACAAGTATTTACTGAGCTCTGTGCAGGCTGAACATAAATTATTGTTTAGAAATAAAAGGGGGAAAGTATCCTTCCTGTTAAGCAAATGGTTCAGAAATGGAACAATATAAAGAGCCCAGTTTCTCCCCAGCAGCCTGGAGCAGCAGGCAGAACTCTGTACTGCTAGTTTACAAACCAAGCCCATGCTGCCATCACAAGAGTAGCTATTGCTTACTGAATGTTGAAGACTTTACATCAGTTACCTTATCCCACATTCACAACACTGCTTTGAGGTACGAACTCTTATTGTTCTTGTTTTTTCAGATAAGGGAACTGATATTCAGGGAAGCTAAGAAACTTTCCCAATGTCACCCAGTTAGTAAGTGGCAGGGATGGAATTTGAAGCCCAGCAGTCTGACCCCCAACATTTGATCTTTAAAGATCACTGGCTCCCACGAACTTACAGTGGGCCCTTGGTTTCCTCCACCATTCAGTGGGATAGTGATCTCTGATGTTTATGTCTGGCACATGACAGGGATTGGGTAAAAGCAGTGGTTCTCTTTCTGACCTCCCTTCTTTCTCCCTTTTACTTGAAGCCAGAGAAGGGATGGTGAGTATGTGTGTGCATGTATGCATGTGTGTTTGTTATGATCACTTCTGTTTTTTTGGTCATGCTCAGCTTTGAGAAAACCGCCTCAAAGGGAAAGAAAGTCTCCATAAGCAACTGCTCCGAAACAGATTCAATGAATGCTCATGCCTCAGAAATCCAGGAGTTTATTCCCTTATTTCTCCAGGTTCCTGCTGCGAAGTCCCTTCACCATGACCCTTCCCACCTCTCCCCATAGAACTCATTGTCCACACACATGTCTCCCCCTCCTTTTTTTTTTTTTTCTTTTTTGGTACTGGGGATTGAACTCAGGGGCACTCAACCACTGAGCCACATCCCCAGCCCTAATTTGTACTTTATTCAGAGACAGGGTCTCACTGAGTTGCTTAGTGCCTCACTTTTGCTGAAGCTGACTTTGAACTCATGATCCTCCTGCCTCAGCCTCCCAAGCCACTACTGTAATGCCCCACCCTGCCTGGCCTCCCCTCCTTCTTTTAAGAGTTCAGGGTCTCTTTCCCAATCTCTCATTCTGGAATGTGAGTTCCAGGAGCACAGTGACTCTGGCCTACTGTGTTCCCAGTGTTCCCAGTGCTATGAACACAGGAGGCACTCAAAATGTATTTACTGAATGCATGAATCAATTTTCGTAACTCTATAAAAGGTATTAATAGCTGGGGAATAAAGCTCAGTTGGTAGAGTGCTTGCCTGGCATGCACAAGGCCCTGGGTTCAATCCCTAGCACCAAAAATAAAATAAAATAAAAATAAAAGGCATTAATAATATTCCAGTTTACAGATGAGGAAATCGCAGTTCAAGGAGGGTAAGTGATATGCCCAAGGCCACACTAACCTTCTGCTTTCCCAAATGTACCCACGCCATCTTTGCTCTCTGGGTCAAGGCCTGCCCACATTCAGTTCCCCCAGTCAGTATGCCTCACTGAATCCTTTCCAGAATTCAAATTGGTGTGTTTCCTCGAGGCGGCCTCCCCACCAGCATCTCCAAACGCTCCCACCCAGCACCTTTCCTGTAGAAATCATTCCAGGGAACATCATGAGCTTAACAATCTGGTTATTGTTCCCCTGTCCAACTGACCAGAATGCTGGCTCCACAGGGCAGGGATCTTGCTCCTCTTACTCTCTCCCTAGTCCCCAGGCCATAGCATTTGGGGAATGGCTAAATTGCTCGCCTTTACCAAGAGAAAGGATTCAGGCCCCCTCTGAAACAGGGCGGGGAGTTTACCCGCTCCACGAAGCCCCTAGATTCGAGTGACTTCGAAGCCCACATCTTCCCCGACGAGGCTCTGTAATGCATCCCCACGCCTCCGCCCCCGTCGCTCACGCACACTCCTCAGCCTTGCGCTCCCCGCAGACCCTCCTCCCGCTGTTGCGGTCACTTACTCTCAATGTAGCCGTGCAGGGTGACCATGCGCGCCCGCTCGGGGCTGCTGAACGGGGAGTAGTGGATGTCGTCGGACAGGGCGGAGGGAAGGCGGGACGGGGGCGCCCCAGAGGGCGGCACTGGGTGTTGCGGTGTGTGCTTTTTATGACGCGCCCGGCAGTTTTGAAACCACACCTGGAACGACAGCCTCAGCAGTTTCAGCCTCGCGTTAAGAGGGTCGCACGCGCCACCAGGGGATGCCCAGGCGGGACTGCCTCCCCACTCCCTGAAGAAGAGCCTCCACGTGCACGGGCGACCCTTGGCACCGCGGCGAGCTTCAGAGCTTGGCCCGGGACCCCTAGGCTCCGCCCCAGACCTGAAGGCCCTGCCCACTCGTGGTCCCACCTGGATGACCCTCCGGCTGAGGCCTGTCATGTCCGCCAGCTTCTGCAGCGTCTGCGCGTCCGGGTTGTTGTCCTGCGCGAACTGTGCCTGCATAACCTGCGGGTCGCGGGAGGGCGGTGAGGCACGGCGCGCGGAGGGCTCCGAGACCCCGGCCCAATCAGAGGCTCGGGACCGGAGGCCACGCCCCAGGCAGCTACAGCCCCTCCCGCCACCCGCGGGTCCAGGCCGAGGGGGTGGAGCCACAAGGCCCTCTCACCCCCGCCCCCGCCGAGGCCCCGCCCCCGTCCCCGGGGCTGTATCTTGCCCCGGTACCTGCAGCTGCTCCGCGGTGAAGGACGTCCGCGCGCGCTTGGCCGGCTTGGGCTGACTGTCCTGTTCCGAGGGCACTGCCCCCTCCAACGTGAGGCCGTTCCCTGGGGGCGACAGAAGCAGCTGACCACGCGTCCCCATCTCTTCTAGTGGCAGCCTGGAAAGGACGGGGGTGGGGGGAGCTTGTCCCTGGAAGAGTCAGGAGCTGAGCTGGCTGGGAGTAGGGATCCCAGGGTCTTAATCCCCGAGCTCAGTGTTTGGGGAAAGGACTTCTGTTTCCACACTGGAGAGTTCTCTTTCAGTGTCCTCTTTACATCATAAGTCCTAAGGAGAGTGGTATTATCCCCATTTTACGCGAGAGGAAACTGAGGTTCAAAGAGAAAAAAGTCCCTGCCCCTAACCTTCCCACTAGAATCTGAAAGTTGGCTGATCCTAATGGCCCCAACTGGGCTCCCTCCGAGCGAAACTAGGGGGATCCACAGGTTGGTGGGAACAAGAAACGAGGAACTTACAACGAATGGAAGAAAAAAGGTTGGAAGGATGTACACCAAGGTGTCAGCAAGGAGTAACCTCTGGCTAACCTCAGAGAAAAGTCATCAAGGAGACTTTTTACTTTCAATACTTCTGCAACTTCTGAGGTCTTTAAAACTGCTACATGTTATCTCTCTAAAATTCTTAATTTTGTTAACCTGGGTATATGTCTCAAATTAGATTACTTTTAAAACTATGATTGTAAACTACTAAGTTTATTCTGATTTTATTTTAATATTTCATTGTTCTGAATACAAAAGTGTCCTTATCAAAAGTACAGAAAATTCCAATAAACCTCCCACAGGGGAGGGTGGGAATCATCACTAATCCCACCATTCAGAGAGAACCACTGCTCACAATTTATTATAGTTTAATTAGGAAAAAAACTGTGTTGGAAGAAAAAAACAATAAACAAATACATAGAAATATCTGGAAAGGTAAAGGTGAAATGTGAGAGGAAATGGCATTTGGAGTGGTCTTTATTTTCTTTTTGCTTAACCATCTTTTCTAATATTCTTATGATGAACATGTGTAGTGTGTGTGTGTGTGTGTGTGTGTGTGTGTGTGTGTGCGCGCGCGCGCGCGCTGTGTTTAGAAAGCAAAAGAGTAACCAATATCAGGGGCTGTGGCTATGGCTCAGTGGTAGCCCATTTGCCTGGTATATGTGAGGCACTGGGTTCGATTCTCAATACCACTTATAAATAAATAAAAATAAAGATCTATCAAAACTAAAGAATGTTTAAAAAAAAAAAAGTAACCAACATCAAAGGCTGATCTGAAGCCCCATGCCTTCAAGTTCCCTCTATGATTAGAGCTTAGGTGTAACTGGCAAGACCATGACTAAAGGTGGTCCTGGTTGGTCCAGCTACGGAAGGAGCCTGTGGTTACTGATGGACCATGGTGTGCAGGAAACTCTGGATCCTGGGTTTCCATCTCAGTTCCATTGCTGACCTGCCCACAACTTCAGATAACTTAAGAGCAACCCATTTAGCTCTGAAATTAGTCAAGTATACTCTTGTGTTCCCTGACTAGTTTCAGGCTGAAGTCTAGAAACTGAGGAAGGGTGATCCATATCACTCCCCAGAGGGACTGGGAGTGAGGCAGACATTTTTGGGATATTATTGTCCCATAGGGAGGCAAGCTGGACAAGGATTAGTGTGCCTTCTTTTTTAAATGGAAAAAAAATGAAACTCTTTAGAGGCAGCCACATCCCTGCAGCCTCCTGGGGTTCTGAGATCCAATTAAGGGGCCCTGGAACACAGGGATGAGGTGGTATGGCATGGTGTGACATGCTGTGTCATGGTAGTTAAGAGTCTGGGCTAGGCAGACCCACTGGTATGTTAACTTAGATGTTACATACTACAGATAACCTCCACCTTTTTGCTCATCTGTACAATGGGGATACACCATAAACATCCTAAGACTATTGTAAAGATTACTTAAAATAATCCATGCTGTGGAGAAGTTAGCAGCATCTATGGACCCTGACAGAGGAATCATGGACAGCCCTGCCTGTACTCCCTTTTACCAGTCCCCACTCCACCTAGATCCCTGGAAGGCTGTCCATATATGAGGCCTGTATGGGTCTATGTATCTTGGGAAATCAGAGAAGATGTTTTGATCATTCTAATCCAACATCTATCTTGCACAGATGGGGTAGGGGGACTGAGGGACAGAGAGGAAAGAAAATTTCTTGTTGTCGCAGTATTAGAAGCTTAATCTCCATCTCAGAAATGGGGCCTTTTCTCCTAATAGTCAGAGCCCTGAGTCCGGGATGAAACCCCTACCCTCAAGCCTCAGCTTGGTACTTACCAGGATGGGAATTGGGGGAACAGAGGCTACAACAAACATCTTTCTAGGGGATGGGGATGTAGCTCAGTTGTAGAGCACCTGCCTAGCATGTGCAAGTCTCTGGGTTCAATTCCCAGAACCTTCAAAATAATAATAATAAATCTCTACAGGACTGGCCTAGGCAACTGGGGTAAGGAGCCCCCAAGCGCCTTCCAAGGGTGGAGTAGCCTGCCTCAATGAATAGAGCCCACTCCACCCTCCCATTCATTGAGTGCCTCCAGGTTTTACAACACTTCAGCTCATCAGCCTTTGAAAAGGTCTCCTGCTATTAACCCCATCTCACAGATAAGTCAGCACAGTTGCAGTAAGGTAGTGACTGATTCCCAAGCTAACCGTGGAGGAGCCCCACCTCCACCAGCCTCCAAGTGCTCCAGGGAACGCCCAGCACATAAAGCACTGTGTATCACATCTGGGGTGCTGGGGTCGGGTGGGAAAGGGCTCGGGACAGGGGTGCTGGGCAGGGCGGGTTAGGTACCATTCTCGGCGGCTCTCTTGAGGTTCTCGATCATGGTGTCGTAGTGGATGCGGCACAGCACCTTTTCCTCAACCAGGCCGAACTCCTCGCCGGTGGAGAGCTGGCGCTTGCAGGAGAAGCAGGCGAAGCAGGCCAGGTGGTAGGCGTTGCCGCGCGCCCTGCGCACCCAGTCGCTGGCGTAGATCTGTCGGCCGCACCGGGCGCACTTGGTCCCAAATCGGCTGCGGGACAAGGTGACAGGGACTAGGCTCAGACAGGCCATCTCTCCCCCACCCCAGGCTCCTGGCCTCAGGGCCTTGACTCAGCAAATACCTGTTGCTTGGATACACTATCTACCCTCACCCCCAGCCAAGTCCCACTGAGAGGATGAGCTGGAGG